TTAAATACCCATTCTAGCAGGATTCAAACTATCGAGTATCTATTCCTAAAATGGGACATTCAACTCATACGAGCATATTGATCACTATAGAACTATCATGCATATGCAACGAGCCTCAAACATGCTCATCTGCCAGGTTTTTCCTTCTGCCCTCAAAAGAAAAGCTCAAATGTGGTTCTATTCAGTTCCAACCATAACGATCCTTACTTTTGTCAAATTAGCCAAAGTGTTCATCGAATAATTCATTGTTAATCGAAAAAATTGCTATGGATTCTTCTCACTTTTTTGGGATCCGCCAAAATAAAGGAGAAACATTATTGAAGGAGTATTTTCAATGATTTTCCATTGAGGCCCGGCAAATTTCAGGAGTAGATCCAGAATTGCTGATATGAGTCTTTCTTAGAGGCCTCCATCCTGGCCTCTTTTATTCGGCACTCATATGACACATTTCATTCATACGTCGACTTAATCCATCGCGTGGAAGCACAAATCTTTACATATGAAGTCATAAATGCTCACATAAAGTAGTTTGAGTAAACAAATGAAATACGAGTGCACCTGGGATGAATAATTCGTTCTCACAACAAAAGAAATAAGAGAAGAATAATATGCCTCATAGGCCTCCAATTCCATAATAGGAACCTTGATAGGAGGAGTATACATTATTAAACATATATCGAGAAATGTATTGATGACCATTCGAGATCAAGAGAATGTGAAGCGACCTAATCCTTTGAAGGCGAATACAAAAAATCAAGATTAATACTCTCATTTTCATCGTAATTGTGGCCACACTATCGAAGCTTATAAGCAGCTCAAGGATGAAATTGAAAGGGTTATCCGCCAATATTATCTTCGACGGTTTATTTGAGATCCACCTACTCGAGAGGAAGCTCATCCCACTTAGGGGCAAAATCAATAACAACAGAGATAACTGTTGAATAATCATCTAACAGTTTGTTAGATTGAGACCATCGCGAGAGGCCCCTTATTATCTAATCAGGTCTTATTGGCGTTAGATGAAAATTTAACACCAAATAAGGCTCGATCAATTATTCTATTATAATGATTTTGATTTGAAGGAAGTAAAAATCCCTCATCAAGATCCACTTGTGATTCATGCGGGGTTAGGTGACCTGTGTTATAATGTCAAAAGAATTATGATAGATAATGGAAGCTCTGCGGATGTCTTATTCTACTATACTTTTCTCAATATGGGTCTCACCATAAAAAACCTTCAACCTGTCAAAGGACCACTATATGGAATTGATAATCGACCTATACGAGTAGAAGAGATAATTAGTCTTCAAGTTATACTAGAAGAATTTCCTCAACAAGCTACTCACATAATCCAATTTATTATGGTGAAATTAGAGTCAGCTTATAATACTATTTTTGGAAGACCCCTCCAGTCAATCTTTGGACTTATCACCTCTATTCCACGCCTCAAACTAAAATTTTTCACCTTTGTTAGGATATGTATTTTTTATCTCCTAAAAATTTTACTCTTAAAATATCATTATATCAAGATTTTATTATATTTTAATTCAATAGCATATCATTTATGTCACTAAGATAAAATTTTTAATTTTATATACATTTTAAGGATATAATGCTTGTTGTATTATGGAATATTTATGACAATAGAGATATATAGAGTTTAGCATCTAATTTTTATACGGTGATCCAAAACATAGATAAATAAGAGAGAGTGTAAGAGTTATAAGAGACACTAATATTTTTAGGTGAAAAATTCTAAAAAATGGGAAAAGTTATGGGGTCTGACCCAGTTAAAATGATTATATGAGTGTTTATTATTGATTACAAAAAAGTCCCTTCTTTGGAGTGAAGGCCTTAGCTCAATATAGTGAATATATATCATATATAGCACATAACATGGTGGACGATGGAAGAATCTAATGATATGAAAGTTATTCTCAAGAGAGCGTTGGTCGATTCATTCAGCCAATATGGAATGGAAGGGAATGCACAATTTAGGTGAGTTGACTACTCAACCCTATTTTGTGCATTGGAGTTGCCTATTTGACCATCAATTGGTCCAAGCTCATGAGGTGGAGTTCAATGGAGTGCATGATTGTTGTTTGAATGAATTTTAAGAAGTCTAAGGGAGTGGAGTTGATGTTTTAACAAGTGGGTGAGTGTGTAGTAGGGTTGACCAAGTCAAACCAACCATGGTTTGACTCATGGCAAGCTTAGAGATACTTACACCATACATTGGAATGATTGTGAAGGGTTAATGATGCAATCAAGAATTATCATTTTATATTTTATTTACTTATGTTTTGGATGCTATGTAATTTTGGACTATATTTTTTTTATGTGCCCTATGATGGAAACCAACTCATGATCATTCTTGGATTTGGTGCTCTTAGTTAATTTCTCTCCATTGGCTTTCCACTTATGTTGAATTTATTTTCTTGCTCCTTGATGGCTAAATCAGTATTTTATCTTTGGGATATTTTTTTCTTATTGGGCTTGACCCATCTCTTCCCATGTTGGTTGACTGTTGGTTTTCCAAGCTGATTTCGGATTCCCTGCTGTTGATACCCCATGCTAAATTCGGATTCCCATGTTGGTTGGTTGTTGGTTTTCCAAGCAAGCTTTTTGGTTTCCCTGCCACTGACCGTTCATTTCCCTCCTTGCTTATTCCTAAAATATTGTTTTTTCTTCTCAAAAAGTGGTTGTATTGATTATTTTCTATTGACTAGTTGGATTGTTGTGTGGCACAATTATGTGGGTTATTGGGCATTCTTCTCCTATAAAATATGGCTAATTTGTTGTTGGAAGGGAGTTGTTGTTGGTGTAAATAAATTCAAACCTGGGAGTTTTCTTCCTAGCTTGAGAGCTATCTTATTCCTACACCTATTTCTTCTTCTTGGTCTTCTATTTATTTTTTCTCTCTATGGTTTCACCTTCCACTTGTATCTTTATTCTCCAAATATTTTGAGTGTAATGTGTTGTTGTGCTCCGTTTATTGATATTTATCGGAGGAGCCCTGACTTGAGCTAGATCATAATTTTTTTAGCAAACCATTGGTTTGATTTTTTTCCTTTAAGCATCATTCTTTATTTTCATGATTTGCATGTGAGATGACCTTTCTAGATTATTCTGAGGGTAGTTCATTTTAAGTTTTAGTTTGTTTCTTTACAAAAATTTCTAATCATTCACTTATATATGTTTACTATTAAGTTTCATTATGTTGGTGTTGGTTTATGTTTATTGAAAGGAAGTATCTTGTTGCCTTCTTAGTGTTCTTCTACTTAGCTATAGAACTTAAATTTCATCAGTTAAGGTGCTTGCTTTGATTGAATGCAATGGATTGACCCAATGTTGACTTGGTTTGACCAAGCACGAGTTGAGTTGTCCAAGTTAGTTGATGATTAGGTTAGGGTGACCAGTTATGCCCACTTCATTGGGAGTGGTAATCATAAAAGTTTGGTGAAGATCATGTTCCATCTGGAGCTTGATTGAGTGTAGGTAATATGCATCATCAATTGGGCTAGCTTGAGCTAGCCCAACTAGGTATGATGGATCTATTAATGGCTGAAGGATTTAATGATGGATGATTTACTGTATGAAGTTCCTAGTGAAGTAGTTTGGGTCATGACTAAGGTCATGGGGGTTAGTGCACTAGGTCAACTGATTGTAGTGCAAATCAATTGATTGTAGTTCAATGATTTTGGATTTTAGGAGTGATGATTGATCAATGTAGTTGGATATCTAGGGGTGATTGAAGTTTGATTGAGTGTATCTTCATTGATTGTAGGGTTGATTGATTTTTTGCTTGAAGTGTAGGTTTATTGATTGTTGATGATTGAATACTTGTTTTGAGATAATTGAATAGTTGACTGGAGATGATTGAATGCATAATTGATGGCTAGATGAATAAAAAACTAGATAATTGTCAACCATGGAGTCATTTATCAAATAACTGTGGATTATGGTGATATGGGTCAAATGACCTCAGCTAAAAATGAGGTAAACAATTTTCAATATTCTCATAAGAGGCTAAACAGACAATCTAGACATTGTAATATTGTTTTCTCTAATCCAAGGAAAACAAGACTTTGTAGTATTTATTTTAAATAGTGGACAATTTCAACTAGATTGAGTGTAATGTTTTTTTTTTTGTACATCTCACATAAAATTAGTGTGTCTCTTACGATATTTTTTTATTCGTGTATGTCAATATTCTCATAAGAGGCTAAACAGACAATCTAAACATTGTAATATTGTTTTCTCTAATCCAAGGAAAACAAGACTTTGTAGTATTTATTTAAATAGTGGACAATTTCAACTAGATTGAGTGTAATGTTTTTTTTTTTTTTGTACATCTCACATAAAATTAGTGTCTCTTACGACATTTTTTTATTCGTGTATGTGAATTTATGAGTGGGTGGCGATGAGAGCAGAGTTAGCTTTCCTCGTATATGGGCATCGATAGATATTGAACTAATTTTGAATACATAAAAAGTGAGCTATTATGTGAATTTAGAATTCATCAAAATTTTACTCTGGATTCATTTTTCGCCAAAAACAAACATCAAAATTCTTAAAATCCCTAAATTTGATGTACTCTACACTCTTTTTTATCAAATCAAGCAACCCTTAAATAGTAGATTGAAAATTATAATTATTTATGTTCAATAAAATCTTTAGCACTAGATTCACAATTACACCATTTAAAAAAGTTTTTATAAAATTTTTACCATGTTTAATTCTACCATATATCTCATTTTAATAAAAAAATTTCTTATATTTCAATCAAGAGAGTTCCATTTTTAAAAAATAGCAAAATGTTATTATAAAAAACAAAAATTAAGTAAATATATTTATCTTCTAAATATCAAATTCCCAATTTCCAAAAATAAAAACGAAAAAAACAGAAAAGGTTAAAATGTAACCCAGGCGAAAACCTCCATTAGAATTCCACATGTCCACTTCGCTCGGCGCCCACTTCCCATCCACAAATCCTATCTTAGAAGTTTTAAAACCCCCCACCGACTGCACAATTTAACAAATCCCTCGGTTCCTTTTTCTTCTTCCCAAATTCACCTCCTATCTACCTTTCTCACGCCATGGATCTGCAGCTCGAGCAACTGCAATCCCTGAGCTCCGTCGACGTTCTCCGGGAATCGGCGGAGATCCCTCGCGCCGCTCCCCGCACCTTCAGCTTACTCACCCTCGCACTCGTCTTTCCCCTCTCCTTCGCAATCCTCATCCACTCGCTATTTACTCATCCCGTCCTCCTCCACCTTGAGCAATCCTCGTCATCTCCTTACTCTTCCTCCGGCTGGTCTCTCCTTTTCTTCTATCAGTTCATCTACATCATATTCCTCTTCATCTTCTCTCTGCTTTCCACGGCCGCCATCGTCTTCACCGTCGCCTCTCTCTACGCCGCTAAGCCCGTTTCCTTTACGTCTTCTCTATCAGCCATACCCCCGATCTTTCCTCGCCTTTTCCGCACTTTCCTCTGGGTGTCCCTCCTCATGTTCCTTTACAACCTCGCGTTTGCTTTCTCCCTCGTCATGCTCCTCGTCGCCTATCCTTCATCGGATTCCCCTTTTTTTCTTATTGTCTTATCACTCCTCATCGCCGCCTTCATCGCTGTCCATGTCCTTATTTCTGCCCTATGGCACCTCGCCTCGGTCATCTCCGTGCTGGAGCCCGTCTGCGGCCTCGAAGCCATGCGTAAAGCACGTCAGCTCCTTCGTGGACGGGCTCGAATGGCTGCTATACTCATCACCGGCTATCTCTCAGCTTGCGGGCTTATCGGCTGGGCTTTCCGTGCCTTTGTCGTCAAGGGCCCAACAGAGGAGGGCAGCTTCGGCCTTGGTGTTCCCGCTAAGGTCCTCGTTGGCGGAGGCCTTGTGGCGGTCCTCGTCCTCGTCAATTTTGTGGGTCTATTAGCTCAGAGCGTGTTCTATTACGTTTGCAAGAGCTACCACCATCAGACGATTGACAAGAGCGCGCTCTATGATCATTTGGGAGGATATCTTGGTGAATACGTGCCGCTTAAGAGTTCGATCCAAATGGAAAACATCTGAAAAACAAACTGTAAGAGACCTGAAAACTCTAGGAGGTGTATTTCTTTCATGTGTAGTTATACAATGGTGGGATTGGATTGCAGAGTAACAATTATAGGTTATCGTCTGTTAAATTTCTTTTTAATATATTTTAATTATCTGGGTCGCTTGTACTAAACTTTGTTGATCCTGGGGTGCTATGAATATTTAATTGATTTCGGGTGAGTCAACCGGGGGCGAGCTAATTTGAATTACATGGATGGTCATTTCGTTCAGGTATTGTGGTTTTTTTTTTTGCGATATTTTTCTTTCTAGTTCTCTGCTAGATTTTACAAGAGGGAAATGATTAATCTATTTTAGGCTGGTTATCAACCGACATTATTGTTAATGATGTGCTTTTGAGTTGATTCTAGCCACCCCCTTAAAATTTAAATATATCATATTGAAGTTATTTGATATGATTTTGAGTCAATTGGACCTTGGCTGGAGATCTTCTTGAATCATTAGATCTAATCTCGAGTCAAGTCAAATTTTGTTCTAGTATGCGGCGATCCAATATTTATTTGAGCAAGCATGGATGCATAACTTTGAAGCAAGCTCAATTGAAGCTAAAAACCCTATCCAACCTTAGCTAATTTTTTATCACTTAAGACAAGCTCTTAGTCCAACATACATGCATATGTTGATGCATATATATAAACATAAAGATGCATGCATACTTTGATTCAAATTTAAATATACACATAAATATCTTTGTATGTGCATTTAGAGATGCTTGGATATGTATTTTTATTTCATCTTGAGCTTGGTTCAATTCAAATTTGATTCAATCTAGGATTGGTTCATTAGTTTGCTTATTGAGTTTGATCCAAACTAAAAATCAATTCAATTTTTAAGCTAATCTTGAAATTTTGAGCTGGATTCACAACCCTTTTAGCCATCATATCCATCATTTTGTGAGGGGTAGGGGTTAACTAAGTTGTTAAAAAAATCTTTATTACAATATACTGGCTTTTAGTATAGTTGATGTTCTATCCGCAAGGTGGAGGGTGAGACAGTGGGAATTGTTGATGCAATAGAATAAACATCAATGCTAGAGACTCTACACTCTAGTGAACGGTATGGTATTTATTGTAAAAATCTTGTATGATTTCTGCCAATTGGGGCCCACACTCACCAAGACTTTTGCCTTATTGGTGAATTATTGTTCATTAATTATGTATTTTTCCTTCTATTTATCCTAAGATTGTATGAAAATTACACAAATATTAGAATGAAATACTCAACTAATTCTCTTCAATCATTGTCATGATATTAGATCTCTAGGTTTTTTCCTTATCTTGTATGTTTTTTATAACAACCTTAATTGTTGCATCACCAAAATTTTGTGTTAGACCAGTCCACTGGGCTGGTCCAACCGGTCCATACAGCGGCTTACGGGCAACAGAGGCGGAATGTCTCCGCCTCCTGTACGTGCCGATCAAACTGCCCAATCCAACATAGCTGTTTATGAATGATTTTTGAGGGAGTTAGGTGAGAAATTTGAATGTAGGGACTGTTTAGATATTTCCTTTTGGATTATATACATTAAATAATTTTTCCCTAGGGTTAGGGCATCTTGAATTTGGCTGAAATTTGAGATCTCTTAGATTTTTGTGCTCTAGCAGCGTCTAAAGATTTTGGAGTGATAGATCCTCCGCTAGAATAAAGGATCAATTGTATCTTGGTATTTTCTGTTTTCATATCATCAAATAATACAAATCATCTACTATTTTCCTTATTTATGTGGACTTTTGTGGAGAATTCTCGTTGTTTTCCAAAGATTGCTAGAAAATTCTTGAGATCTTCGAGTTTTTCCTATCAAATTGGTATCAGAGTGGTTTCTGGGTTATTTTTGGGTTGTCTTTGGAGAATTCCTGCAGCAGATTTTTTTACTTTGGACTGAAGTTTCTATTATTTTTAGTCGGGAATACAAATTTTTGAGCCTAACAAAGAGTTGATGATATATGATAGGAAGAAAGGTTGAAGTATTAGAAGGGGAGATCGGACAAATGAAATTTAAAATTTCAGATCTCCAAACTCAAGTTTCAGATTTAAAAAAAGATATTTCAGTCATCCATGATAAGATCGATTCTAATTGTTTCATCATGGAGGAGAAGTTGAGAAAAGTGCTTGAGGGCCAAACCAAAAAAATGCCATTGGAGGTGAGGGAAGTCACCAACAGCTAGGGGAGTGGGGAAAATCTTAAGCCATTCAGACGAAGGGAGGATCAAGAGGTGGAGATTTCAGAAGGAATAGAGAAAATGCCTCACCTAGGGCCTATTCCTAGGGAGGAGTCAGGTAGAGGGTATGTGGAGAGGCGTGAGGGGGTTGGGTATGAGTGGAGGGGTTTTGAATTTGAAAGGAGAGGGGTTGAATTTGAAAGGTGAGGACTTTATTATGATCGAAGAGGTGTCGAATTTGAAAGGAGTGAGGTTGAATATGATTGAAGGGGTGCTGAATTTGAAGGGAGAAGGTGGGCTTGTGATGAAATGGTTGGGTGCGAGCAGAGGAGGGATGATTGGCACAATTGGGGGGAACCCTTGGGGAATGGAAAATTTTGGAGGAAGCGGAGTTGGCAGAGGTGATCAAAGGGTGAGGAAACTGAAGATGCCTATTTTTGAGGGAGAGGATGCATATGGGTAGATCTACAAAGTGGAAAGGTATTTTACCATCAATAGTTTGACGGAGGAGGAGAGACTGACAACAAATGACCTATACTTGGAAGGAAAGACTTTGGCTTTGTACTAATGGAGGGACATGCGACGACCCATACAGAGTTGGAGGGAGTTCAAGGATTGCCTGTTCAAATGATTCTGAACCGGCATAGGAGAAGACTTCTACGAGCAGTTCTTCACCTTGACACAAGATGATTTAGTGATAAAGTACCGGGAGAGGTTTGAGTACCTTGCTAGCTGATTGGACCGCCTTTATGAGACTGTGCTAGAGGGGAACTTCATGAAGGGACTGAAACCAGAGATCTGGGCGGCAGTTAGAGTGATGAGGCCTTGTGACTTAGGAGAGGCTATGGAGCTAGCTCAGTTGGTGGAGGATTAGAGGCACTTGGAGAGAGGAACGGGAGGCAACATCTCAGTAGACTCGTACAAGATGACCACCACCTTATTGGCATCCAAGGAGCCAATACCGGATACTCTTCAAGGGACTATTCGGGGGACTTCGAAGGAAAAAATTGCAGGAGTAAGGCCTGGGGATAACTTCAAGAAGCTCACAAAAATGGAATTACAATAGAAGAGGGTGAAGGGGCTCTCTTTCAGATGTGACGAGAGATATACTCCAGGGCACAAGTATAAGGACCAAACTCTTTAAGTTCTTACTCTTTGTGATGAAGAGGGAATGGGGAAAGTGTCGTCTTTCCACCTTGCGGACTAGGTGGGTCTTTTGGAGGGGAGTATTATTAGACCAGTCCAGTCGGCCCATATTGGACCAGCTTACAGGCAACAAAAGTGGAACATCTCCGCCCGTCGATCAAAGTGCCCATTCCAACGGAGCTGTTTAGGAAGGATTTTTGAGGGAGTTAGGAGGAAAATTTGAATGTGGGTTACTGTTTAGAGATTTTCTTTTGAATTATATGCATTAAATAGTTTGTTTTCCTAGGATTAGGACATCTTGAATTTGGCTGAAATTTGTGATCTCTTAGGTTTTTTGGGCTCTAGCGGTGTCTAGAGATTTGGGAGAGATAAGTCCTCCTCTCGAATACACGATCAATTGTATCTTGGTATTTTCCGTTTCCATTTCATCAAATAAGACAAATCATCTACTGTTTTCCTGGTTTTGTATGAATTTTTGTGGAGAATTCTCGCTGTTTTCCAAAGATTGTTAGGAAATTCTTAAGATCTTCAAGTGTTTCCTATCATTTTGCAGCCTTCATTGCTACACTATATTCTTTTTCACTTATTTTTCTATAATTGTAGCCTTCACCATTGCATTGTCGCAGACATTTCTCATTACTATAACTTTCATTGCTGCATCATTGTTAATTTGTCCCATTATTGTAGCCTTTATTGCTATATTGCTGCATTTCTTTTCTTTTCTATTTTTTTATTGTGAACATATCCACTGTTTCCCTCTCCATAAAGAACAATAACAATACCCACTTACTCTTGGTCTTGAGTTCTCTTAGAATTGAGAGATTCAATTTAAATCGAATGGTAGAGTTGCAAAACATTCATTCAACATACTGATTGAATGGAAAGAGCTATCTAAAATGGACGCATATGATTCATAGGCTTTTAGTGGGAAGAAGAAATTGGGCTTTTATATGGCATAAAAAGACAAAAAAGCTTGCTAGGAGCACCTACAAAATGTGCACAACAGACACTTATACTATATAATTCTCAGGTATTACTTCTTCTCATGCCTTTAAAGTTGTAAAGTTGTCAATTTTTAGGTTACAGATCATTGGTTGAGGGGCTACATATCATATTATCAATTCAAAGATTGATTTCATATATTGCTTGTCCTATCAACAAGGAAATAACTATGGCCATATGAATCTTTAATGCTTTGAGCCCCTCAGGAGAGAGGTACAAAAAAGGTACAAATGCTTTGATTCCCTCACGAGAAAGATATGTGTTTTCTGATGTCATTTCCAATAAAAAAATCATTACTTTGTTACCAATTACCCAAATGAAGAAATTTTATTTACAAATAATTTTTTTCTCATAGATTGCCTTTTGTTATCCCGCATCCCAACAAACATCTGTATTGTAGAACCAGCCACTCCCAACTCAAGCATAGCAGCCAATACCAAAATCACTCTCTACTCAATCATTACAAATTTACTTGCGAAGAAAGGCATCTCAATCCATGCAAGTCCAATCAATTGAATCCTTGACACTGAATCTTCCTGGGAAACCATGAAGCCTACGAATGAATATACAAAAATTTCTACTAAGCATGCATTGCTTTTTTTTTTTTATTCATCATATAAAAAGACTTCTCATAATTATCAATCTTTTTTTACAAGCGTGCATATTATTTTTATCCGTAAAATAGTCTTTGAGGCTTTAAATAATATGAATTGGAAGAATACTATGAGAGAAGAAATGAAACTATGCCAAAAAAAAAAAATAGAACACGAGAATTGACAAGTTTGCAAGGAGAAAAATCAATGTGATGTTGATGGGTTTTTACTATTAAATACAAATATGATAGTTCACTAGAAAGGTTTAGAATTAGACTAGTGACCAAAAGG